AGTCGAGCCTGGCCTCGGGCCGGGCTTGGGGAGTAGAAGAACTCCCAGAACCCCATCAACCAGGTATCAACCAGGTATCACCAGCACCACAACAACAGAACCACAACACCATTATCACGGCAACTACCACAACTAGACTGCATGAGCCATGCGGGGGCTCGTATGCCCCGGGTATGGCTCTAGGTATGCCCCGAGTATGCCCCGGGTGTGCTGGAGCTGAGGTCACTAACTGGGTTGTGTAACAACATTGACAATACAACCTGAGAATGAATGACCTATAGTGTTGACACATCATGTCTGCTGAAGACCACAGTTGAGAACAGGTATAGACAATCAAAGACAGATTACATGAGACATGTCTCGGAATAAAATACACAAGATTGCTAGCTAGTTGTAAAACGTGTAGACTCGACCCTGGGCGGGCTCGGGGGAGTAGAACAACTCTCGAAACCCTCTCCAGGTATGCTCCAGATATGCTCCAGGCTGGTGGAAGCCTTACGGCCGCCCAAGCTCACCAGGTCTGCTGGTGAAGGCTGGTATGGTAATATTGTACACGTAAAGTCGGGCGCTCCAGTGTAAAATGCTCAATAATTCATATGAATTTGTTTTTAATGTGCTGATTCGGTGACAGCTTTTTGGGGGAGACTGTCCTGTATGTTGCTGGGTTCTGTGCCGCAGGCGACGTGTGGGAGGGGGGGGGGTGATGATGCCGCAGGCGACGTGTGGGAGGGGGGGGTGATGATGCCGCAGGCGACGTGTGGGGGGGGGGGGGGGGGTGATGATGCCGCAGGCGACGTGTGGGAGGGGGGGGGGTTCTGTGCCGCAGGCGACGTGTGGGAGGGGGGGGTGATGATGCCGCAGGCGACGTGTGGGAGGGGGGGTGATGATGCCGCAGGCGACGTGTGGGAGGGGGGGTGATGATGCCGCAGGCGACGTGTGGGAGGGGGGGGGGTGAAGCCCCAGGCGGCGTGGTGGGGGGTGGGGTGAAGCCCCAGGCGACGTGTAGGAGGGGGGGATGATGCCGCAGGCGACGTGTGGGAGGGGGGGGGTGATGATTCCGCAGGCGACGTGTGGGAGGGGGGGGATGAAGCCGCAGGCGACGTGTGGGGGGTAGGGTGATGATGCCGCAGGCGACGTGTGGGGGGTAGGGGGATGATGCCGCAGGCGACGTGTGGGGGGTAGGGTGATGATGCCGCAGGCGACGTGTGGGAGGGTGGGGGATGATGCCGCAGGCGACGTGTGGGGGGTAGGGTGATGATGCCGCAAGCGACGTTCTGAGGGTGATGTTTCTCAAGTGTCTTGAGAGAAAACAACAAGGAAATGTGTGCTCGCGCCTCATCGACTCTCACTCAGTCATTCAAAAACATTTTATTTCCAACAGAAAAATACCTCATTTATTGTGTGCTTATGACCAAATTTGCAAGGCCAGAATACTGGTCTTTTGGGTTTAATGAGCAAATAGTCCACAGGGAACCACGTGTAAACCACAGGGAACCACGTGTAAACCACAGGGAACCACGTGTAAACCACAGGGAACCACGTGTAAACCACAGGGAACCACGTGTAAACCACAGGGAACCACGTGTAAACCACAGGGAACCACGTGTAAACCACAGGGAACCACGTGTAAACCACAGGGAACCACGTGTAAACCACAGGGAACCACGTGTAAACCACAGGGAACCACGTGTAAACCACAGGGAACCACGTGTAAACCACAGGGAACCACGTGTAAACCACAGGGAACCACGTGTAAACCACAGGGAACCACGTGTAAACCACAGGGAAACACGTGTAAACCACAGGGAACCACGTGTAAACCA